ATAATACTGATATTAAAAAAGCCATGATTTGATTTAAATTATAAATTTTGAAATCCCCCTCGTGCGCCACTTTGTCCGTAATTGGTTCTGTGTCTTTTTACATTCAAAAGTGATGTGTGTTGAGTCCGTGGGACAGGAACCAATAGTTGAACTCTTTCAAGTAGTGATCCGCACTTGATAGAACCACCTATTAATTTAGACTAGGCGTTAAGCCTGCGTTTGTCTACATTTGCTTTCTTCTGCAGTCCAGGCTCTGCATGCCACAAAGCAATAATCTTGTTTAATAACATGTGTTATGGCTATGAATTCGGTGTTTAAAGAACAGGTATTTTACGAATTTATGTTGCGCCCTTTTAATTTTATTAATATAACAGGTGTTAGTAGGTTCCCAGCTAGCACAAAAATATCCCATCTACGTTAATAAGCTGCAATTTTAGGCTCTTTAAGCTCGCATGCAATGTACTGTAAATGTAACCCTATTATCCCTGCAACTACCTAATGTCCGCAACGGCAAGACTTTTATAGCACATCTCGTAGAAGTTATAAAGTGAAGTTCGGAAAACATCACACTAGCACTTTTACGGTACTTACCCCGAAAGTTGCTCTGAAACTTTCTATAGATGTTATAATGTGAATTCCTTCTACAGCATTATACAGTGTGTCCACGGATGGACTTAACAATACTTGTAAAAATATTTATTTTAAATTTTAAAGTACTTCTTCATAATTTCTTTTGCTTGTTAAATAAATACGATTAACGTTGAGAAATTATGAAAAATACCTCTTTTGAAAAATTTAAAATAAATATCTTTACAAGTATAGTTATGTCCATCCTTGGATACACTATATTCAAAATAGTATATTAAGGATATAGTAAAATCTGAAGAAAACAAAATAAAAAAATTGTATAAATTTATTATTAAAAAGCTATTGAAATCAAATACCAATATCATACAAGTAGAGGTAGGTAATAATACAGGTAATGCAATTACACATGTGTGATACCATAAGGTAGCTATAAAACACTGACAAATTGGACAAAAGTAGGTATAGAGGGTATATAAGGAATATCTCAAAAGTTCACTAGAATCAAAAACATTGAACGCTTGCACGAAAGAGTATAATAAGGTACCTATATTGCAAAGGTTCACTAGTAGCTAAAATGGTGAACGATTGTACAAAAGTAATAAAAAAAAGTGTATTTATATAAGGTATATTTCAATAGATTTTTATTAAGATGGCAGTTGTACGATGCTAACCTTGTAGATAATAAATTTACTTGTTTATTATTAAAGAAAATAATATGTATAAAGAAAATTAAAAATATGCTCGTTTAAATCGTTGCACCTATTTTTAGTTGATTTTTTACTTACTTTGTTTTCCTAAATAAATAATAACCTTTATTTTGATTTTTACAAATTTGATACTTAATAATATGGATGTTCAACTTATACAGAACAATGTTTTTAGCATGATATTCTGCTATGAAAGAAAAAGAAATAATTTCAGATGTTATATATTCTTCTTCAATCAATTCTGTATTATTAACTTTAGCTTCTAAAATTCCTGACATTTTTACTAGAATTATAATCCACCACAAAGAAAACCTACAACACAATATTTTTAAAATTTATTTTTAGTGATTAAAATATTATTACACTAGGGCGACCATACTTACAGCAATTTTGCTGTATTGTAAAGCATTTTTAAAGTTTGTCCAGCAATTGGTATTGTGCAGCAAACGTACAGCAAAATGGAATAGGTATATGTCCAGTGAAATGCTGTATTTATCCACCAAAACGTCACTACTGTCCAGCAATGGTAATACTTAATTTACTGAAATGTAACAAATTTAAATGTTATTTATCTTTAGTGAACTACATGAGCACTTCTAACTGCCGTCCTAGCAAGAAAGGTTTTATCTGAAAAATTATCAGTTTTTTTATTTATGTGCATTTGTCTACATTTTATCTTTCTTAATACTGAAATGGAATGTCTTATTTGCATCAAAGGTACTAAAATGTTAAAAAGTTACACAAAAAAGGTTTAAAAGATAATAAATATATTTGCTAAAAATAGTTAAAAACTCGATTATTTCAAAACAACAAATTTTCAGATAGGACCTCTCTGTCTAGGATGGCAGTATATGACTTCTTTGTTTTTGTATTTTTATAGTAGTATAGGAGTAGGGCTAAGAGTATCAATCAAAGGTATTGATACTGGTATCATGTGAAATACTTTGTGGTACAGGCATTGATACTGTTCGATATTATGTTAAAGATATCGATATTTATAAGTATTTTTTTTAAACGACTGACAACTCCCATTCAACAGGATGGAGTGGGGAACTTAACTAAAAACAAGTGTGCATCAGTAAAGTATATTCTGTAGTTGACACCTTTTCTTTCTCTACTGGTACTCTACCTGGTACAAGTTATAGTGTCAATAACTGGCAATTTAACTTATAATTAAATAACAAAAAAAACAGTGGTAAGGCTTAATCATATTACCAAGTTTCACCACATGCGAAAACTAAAATATTTGAACAAACCTTATTATTCCTGACCACACACATAGCGATACGATACTTGCTTCTAAGTATGGATATGGCGATAGTATTGGTAATTCAGTATCAGTGCCTAAATATGGATACTTTCATTGTTTAATATCGATACTTCTATTGTATTGAGTATCAATAAGATCCCTATTATCGTGTAAAATATAGGCAGTCATTTAATATTGCAATCTAAAAGAACAGACAATAAATTAGAAAATATGTTTCTATTTTATTGAAAAGAAGAAAAGAACTTACCAAACTTATTCAAAGGTATAGTTTACAATTTCTTTAAAATCTCAAATAAATACAAGAAAATGTGACAAGTGACATTTTTTTATGTTTTGTTGGTTATAACAAACGAATGGGTACGTTCGAAAACAAAATGATGTATATAGTACATCTCGTGGATACTTTTTTAGCAAGTTACTTTATTACGTTGTGTTATCATAACAGGCAGGTTAAATACGTAAGTAACAAATAGATGTTTCGCGAGATTTTGATTTCTCTCAACAACTTCTCATGTACGTTGCAATTACGTTATATGATAATGTTATTACGTTCCCTTAAAACAACATCGCCGAAAGGCTTGGCAACGTTATGTGCTAGCTGGGTTGTAAAATAAAACGGTATTCCAGGCCATTGTGACGGTATTCTGACGGCTTTGCATACTATGGAATCTATGTGGTCATTAAAAGTTATTGTGGTATCAAATGTAATGCCTAGATCAATAACTATCAAGGAACTATCTACCTAGGTAGATGCTGTTAATACTGTAACAGTAGGATTATGGAATCATGTAAAATGCATGGTTTGTGCACATTTAGAGAAAGAGCATTATTTTTAGACCAGGTAACAAACTTATTTAGGTCCGACTAAGACGGAGTTATTGCTACTGTTTCTACTAAAAAACTTTAAATCATTTGCGAGATTTTTGTTGTAAATTTAATAAATTTGCACAGATTTGCGATATTTACGAACAATCAAAGACAATTTCACAATTGTCGGCCATTAATAAAAAATTCTTTGCACCATAATACCTCACGTCACGTATTGATCTGTTAAATATCTTCGTTTTATAGTAGTACATAAAATAGAAGTATATCTTCGATCTATTTATAGTATCTATCGTGTATATTGTAGACAAATTTGTATTATATTTATATAAAGACTTAAAAATGTTATTTTTGTTTACTTTAAACCAACAAATATAAGCCTTTACATTTTATAATAATGAAAATATCCAAATTAAAAAATATTAAATCTCAATAATATTCCTATCATAATAAAATAAATTTTTGATACGCCTATGTGGTGTAAACAACCTCTCTCTCACCTCGCCTATCCTTTGGTTTGTTTAGTGTTCCGACAAAGGATTATATTTACTTATCAAGATAGTTTGCTTATTCATCTGAGCTTAAAGCTAACTCAAAAGCTCCACAAAACCTTATACAATTTATAATTTGATTTAAAAAATATCAATTCGTATCCACTTGGGAATTGGCCGGCCTAATTCTTTAATTTGTAGTTTTTCTTCTAGCGAAAAACCACTAAAAGAGTTTTTTAAGACGCCAATTTTATTAATTGTCACAATAAATTAAAAACTAGGAAATAAGATATTTAAACAAGTTATCGAAAAATAAAAAGACACGAAATAAAGTCAATAACACTTCCTAACGTAACCAAAAACTTAAAAGCTCGTAAAGAAACTTGGTTAATTCGATCAACAATCGATATTATCGAGAAACCGCGATTATCTGATCCACTGTGGGCACCGTGCCTGGCACAAGCATTCCTTGATTTTATCATTTAAATACATGTAAAATGCCCCATCTTTGTTGCTCACATAGGCTGCTGGTAAAATCTCTCTCTCCCCTAGTGCCTGCTGAGAAATAGCTCCGGTTGAGGCGAGAGCTTGGAGATTTATGCATCGCGAGGTTGCCAAATTTCAAATAATTTTTGAATATAAAAATAAATGCATAAAATAAAATAAAAATATGATAAAACGATTTAAAAATAAAAAATATATTTTTGAATCAAAAATAAGGTAGTACCATTGCACAGTGGCACTACCTCACGAGCCGCCACTGCTAACTATATATTTGTTATGCAGTTCGTTAAATGCTTTTTAAATAAATAAAATAAATTTTAAGAATCGGTTTCGTCTCGTGGTGCCTATTTAGATGTTTTCGTAGGTATTTAAAATTTAATTGATAACATTTTAAGGGATTACCTTTGATTACATTTTTGAGTAATGGCATAGTGTTTACAAGTGGTAATCTGCATAAGACATGCTGTTATCAATGAATGTAGGTAATCTTTAGTTTCTTATAGTTTCTCAGTTTAGATACAAATCTTATCTAATAAGATTTTTTAAACTTTAATAAATATAAATGTATTATGCTTCTCTTACATCATTGTAACTATTTTTTTATTAGATTTTGAAATGACGTGGTACAAAAAAATAACAGTAGAAGTACCACTTTTACTTTGTTTTTTTAGTTTTTTATTAATGGGTAAGTAAATAAAATAAACTTATAGATAGGAGTGTACTTGTAAATGTCCCATAAACGATATTCTTAAAATTAGTTTCTGTGTTATTCTCTAAGTGGACAAATTGCTGTCTTCCCTGTGGGATACACAGTCGAACGCCTTGGAAATATCACACATCGTGAGAAACTCACGTTCCTCATGGCCGCACTATATTTTCCACGACCAAGCAGATATTTTATTGTAGATCTATTCTAAACCCTTACTTGCCATATGTAAGAACTAACATTTTTCAAAATAACTGAATAAACCAAATATTTTTATCAGCCTCATCTAATTCACTATTTTTATGCAGATATAAAATATCGAAATAAAAGTATCAGGAAAAATAATTTGATAGAAACAGTTATTTATTAAAGTTGTAAGTGGTTCGACCAGGAAATCAATAATTGTTTTTAAATATTTGCTAATCATTTTTAAATAAGAGCAATTGCTTAATTTTTATCGACACTAACCAATATATTTTTAGGATCAATCATGACAAATTTGGTCTACTATCGAACTTGTTATAACATCTTAGGCTACGATGAATCGTTATGTAATGAATTGGGCAAGTCTACAGATAGGCAAGATATCAAGGATTTGGAAAAGAAGGTTCAGAAATCGGCCAATATCATAGTCATGGTACTTGAGATGCCGCCTGCCCTTATTCCTGTATTAATTAATGTTTTTGCTGGTGCTTGGTCTGATAGATATGGAAGAAAACCTGTTTTGCTAACGGTTATTGCAGGTACAAATTTTATAATTCAATCCATTTCTACACAATTCAAAAAAAATTTTGTTTATCTGTTAATTTTTTGAGTTTACTAATACTTTATGAGTTACTATTGCTTACAATGAGTCTAATATCCTGTCATATCTTCCTTTTCGTCATTTTTAATTTTCCGTATTTTATTATTCCATATATTCTTATAATATATATGACTTTTTTTATCATCTACTTTTGCTGCTTATAAGCCTTTCTCGTTTAATTTAGTTGTGTAACAATAAGTTTCCTGATTTTCTTCTTGTTGGATCTAAATATGAATATATTAATTAAAGAGAAGCGGCATATTTGCAGAATATAGGAAAATAAGACAAATAAGGAAAACATTATGGAAAGTTTGTCATATTTTTTTAACAGTTCATAGAAAACTTTATCATTTACAAAGTACCAGCCTTAAAAGAAGGGTAATATATTACTTAAAAATTGTATTGTTGTATGGAGTTCTATGACCTCTTAAATTATCCAACTTATACCTTTGTATGCAACAATTATTGACGCAAAGTTTTAGAATAACACGAACAATCTGGCACTAAAATTGTGCCAAATGGGATGGACTCTTTTCAATATTACGTGTTGAGATAAAACTATCTAGATACAGCAGTAAAATAGACAAGTACTTATTAGTATTGGCATGGATCCAGTATAATTAAACTATCGGTGTATCCATAAGATGCATTTAACTCTAAAATGAAATATAAAATAATGTCTTGCTGCAATTGCAGTCAAACATTCTACAGCCTTGTTCAGAACATAAAGGTACTAGACACTAGAGATCATGCGAAAGAAATAGTTTAATAAATAATCTTAAACCAGCAGGATAGAACAATAAAATTGTTACATCATCTAAGAGAAGAGCTAAAACATCTAACAAAACATTAAATTTCTATTTAAATTTGACAAACTTTTTTTGTGGACATTGGGTCTATAATAGTGATGTAATTATTCAAATGGTAAATCATTAGAATATTCGATTGTACTAATATCATTCGAATCATTTGGAATGTCTAAAATTGTAATAAACGAACGAGAGTTGTTTCAGGGGACCTATTTGAAAACTATGGAATTACTTATTTTCCTCAATATTTTCATGAGAAATGTCATACGTCAACGTGAAAATACTATTTTTAATTAAAGCCAGTGAGAACTAACTGACTTTCACGCGGTTTTTACAGAATAATTAAAATTCTCCTGAGAATTTTAATTCTCACTGGCTCTCAAAATACTGTTTTCACGCTGACATATGATATTTCTTATGAAAATATTGAGAGAAATCATTTCTTTCGAGTCTGTAACTAGGTCCACAGGTGACTTGTTGAAATGTGTAGTAAAGTATGGTGCCAAAATTACTTATTTCTCATGATACTCATGCAGCGTTTTTCCCTCTTCGCTTTTAACGTACGCTCACCGACGCCGTAACCCAAAACGGCTGCATGATCAATAAAAGTAAATATTGACGTATGACGTTTAAGACTTTTAGATGTACTGCGTTCTGATTGGATAACTAACTGTCAATATATTAACTTTTGACACATTGATTTTGAAATACCCAATCATTGATGATGACATATAATAAATCATTCTAATGATTTGATTCGAATACTCGATAAATTCAATTTTCAATCATTCGAGTATTTGAATATGACAATCATTCCAATATTCGATTATGACAAGCATTTGATTATGCCCATCACTAGCCTATATGTCTGGTAGTGTCGTGCCCTACTCCGACTAAACCCCCCCGCTTTCTCAGGTTTCTTTCTCAAAAGAAGGTCGACGTGGTGAGATCAATTTGACAGCCTTCGTTGACCTCTTCGGCCTCGTCTATTATTTATTTTAGTGCATGTCTCTTCTCACGGCTTGCAGGAAATGTTCTCTCTCTTCTTTTTGCACATTATGCAACAAAATTATTAATATTTTTAAAAAGTTTTTGTTTGAGTACGAAAGTGTTCTTTATTTTTCACAAAGTCAATTTATTGGCGACCGGTTTTGCTTTTGCTACTGTTTTTTTGCTGCTTTTGCTACTGCTGTTGCTACTGTTTTTGCTACAAGCTTTTGCTAGTGCTTTTGCTACTGCTTTTACATTTTCTTGTGTTAACCTCTTACCTCTCTTTCATTTTACTATCTCTGGCATGAAAAAATAGTGCGTTCGACGGCGTCTATATCGTTGCAGTAATAACGTAGCTGGTCCACTTTTTTGCCAGTATATCTAAGAAACCACAGCATACATGGCCGCTTAGAAACTGTGTCATCCAGTATTGTTTCTAGTTGATCTATACGGAGGATAGACGTCTTTGTTCACAGTCGTTTTGTGGTGTTTTCTGTCCACCTTTCCTGCTATTTTCTCGTTGTACCCTATCTTGTTTGGCTTCTTCCTTCGCCACTAGTGTCATGTTCTGCTACATGTTTCCTCTGTTCCGCTAAAAATCCACAGGCACGATTCCTGCTATTACATAGGTCGCCTGCGTGGAAATAGTTCTGTATCTCTTTATAGTCCTTAGTACCATTTTTCTGTGTGCTCTATATTTTGGTACTCTAATCACCTGGTATTCATTTACTTACCTTTCATCGCCATTGTTTCTCACCGAATGCTTTATAGCATTTAATACCTAGTAATAATTGTTTACTAAATCATTTTATTTTTAGGATTGTTCGTTAGTGTGGGTATGTTTGGAGCATTAATATGTATCCGAAATCTTTCACCATGGGCATTCCTCATTGCTACTATTCCTTCAATGTTGACAGGCAGCCTTCCTACGTATTTAACTGTAACTTTAGCTTACCTCAATGATATATCTACACCAGAAACTAGAGGAATAAGGTAGCTACTTTTAATCACTTTAAATTTTTATTAATAATTAAGTGTTTGAAAAACGATTAATATTTTTTAAACGCTTTGTACTTTACAATGTGCTTAGATAAATGTGGGTTTTTAATATTAACTTTCAGATAAAAAATATTTATAAAATAAATAGTAAATAATAAACAATAGAAATGTCTTGATATACCTACTTAAATTACCTTTCGGTTTGTAGAGACGATAAGAAAAATATATACAATATAATTATAAAATAGTGAACATGGCAAAAACAAGATATATAATGACCAGAAACGAAGTAATCAAACAAAACTCAGGACCGAAGATACTTGGAATATGCCCCTGGATTAAATGAGAACGAATTATAGTTTTGTGAAAATCTTGAAAACCATGCAAGAAAGAATGGAGCCAAGAATGTATCATGCTTGCAACCGAAAACCATGCTGTTTCGTGGTGTAAAGATGGTTTCAAAACCATAGAAGGAACTGGAATAGGAGTGTATGGGCCTAGAGTCAGGTACTCTGAAAATTTGGGTAAGTACCCAAGCATATTCCAGAAAAACTAAATGAGCTAGATTAGGAAAATACAGTTACTCTTACTTGGGCCCCAGGACATAACGGGGTAAAGGTTAATAAGATTGCAGATAGTCTCGCAAGGAAAGTGGCTCAAACACCCTTTGTGGGACCTGAGCTGTTCTTCGATATCAAAAGTAACACAATATTAGAAGAGATTAAAAAAGAATTGGGTAGTAGAAGAACCAATAATTGTAACAATCTCTTGGGTCTAAGATAGGCTTAAATACGACTGGGTGAATATAATCGGAAACATTGTAACAAGGATCCTTACTTGATATTGCTGACTCAGAGGACACCTTAGTAAACTAAAAGTAGTAGTAAATGAAAATTTTGTGAGAAGAAAGACGAAACCTCCATTCACATTTTGATTGAATGTGTAGCACTCTAGGGTATCTATTCTTGAATCTCAGAGAGTAGAAATTTTAAGAGAAAAATGAGACAAAAATACAAATTTTGTGCGTTGCAGATAAAGAAAAAAATGGTTTTCTACTCCTTCAAATTCAAGAATAGCTACCCGGAATCAAAGGATACTTAATTAGAAACCTACCAAATAGAAGAGGGCGATCTACATAACTTGAAGCCACTCCAAATCCTACACCTCCTTGAGAAAATAGTATTGGAAGGATCGTTATAGACATTGAGACATTTCCTTGCTGCATTAGCGATAGAAGGGGATACATTTTCTATTTATTCCCTGGTTATAATTTTAAGTTTACTTATTTTTTAATGACCCTGCATTTTATGATTATAGGGACTATCTGGGAAAATCAGATCTTTTATTACATAACTAATGGTTATAAAAAATGGGAAATACGAGAAATTACATGTACCTACACACATTAAAAATGATAGCGGATTGGATGAAATCTAAAGGAAAGATATTTTAGAAGAGGAAATAGCTGATTCTACCCTAGCAACATGTTGCGAAATAACAACATCCTTGTTCTGGTTATCCCGAGGGGGCCTTCCTGTGATAAAGAGTGGTTTTAGCTAGTACAAATCCAATATTGCCGGAAGGTAGATGCAATCCACGATACTATAAAAAGAAGGTATAACATAACGCAGGTTGATACCACGTCACGAGACGTATTGTGGTGTGGAGGCGTGGATTTTTTGAGGTATTAGCTGATCGAAAACAGTGCGTGAAAATAAATTTCAATCTGTTCATGGCCAATCAGATCATATTTCACGCCACAATACGCCATGCGCGAACTAGACGAGATTTCGTCAACTAAATATCATACCTCTGTAATTTTTTGTATTAAGCATGCAATCCAGACCTGGGTGCGTCGTCTGGTGCCTTCTTGAACATGTTGTTACACTGTTATAAACAAGACTGACTAGGTCAAACATTCATGTAGAACAAAAAAATGATCGCCTCTTCCATGTCTTCTTCTACAACCCCTTCAGGGACTGGATAATTAGATCTAATTGAAGCCATTTTGTTGTCAGCCCATATAGATTTATTCATTTCGAATATGTACCGCGTGCTAAATACAAGAACCTCACTGAGTTTAAATAAACATGCCTAAAGTTCATGCAAAAAATATTAAAACATAAGACATAAGGAAAATCATTATTGTATACTCCGAGAGTCAAGCAATCTAATTCTATATATGTGCACTCAAAGCTTGTGTGGGATGGCAGGGAAGCTACAAGACCTAGTTAAAAGAGACTAAACTTAGCTTGAACAATGAAGAGGCTGATTTACTAGTGAGGCTCTAAGGCACCTTTTACCCCAGAATCCCTCTGTGGTGACAGACATGTCATAAAAGAAACATCGCCAAACCTCACTGAGCAGCATCAATCAAGCCAGAATAGGAGTACTAGTAGGCCTAGTAACAGGCCCAATAGGGTTAATAGCCTAGACATATGCATGACATCGGACTGGCAGAAGAGACATTGTACCTAGAAATAGCAGGAATCTGCAAAACACGTATTGTGCTACTATGAAAGTCTAACAAGAGCGAGATTCCTTACAATTGGAGAAGAAAAACCAAGAATAATTAGCACACCGTAAAGCTAATTTATAGTTTACGAAGTCTACTAGATATACCAAACTAGACAAAATAATCTAACCAATGATCAAAGAATATCCAAAATAGATCTGAAAAGTTCAAGGTGGGGAAGTCTACGTGGCTCACAGTGCTATCCAAATCTAATCTAATATAATGCGCTTCATAGCAACGAGAATTTATCAAAAATACTAAATCATTTATTTCAGAATGGCAGTCTTCGAAGCCGTTATGGTCACAGGAATGTTTTTTGGTACGTTATCGAGTTCTTATTTGCTCTACGCAACAAGCTACGAAACTTGTTTCTTCTTCGCTACTGGTTTAATTGGCTTGAGTTTACTATATACGATATTCTGTATTCCGGAATCTCTACCTCTAAAGAAACGTCAAGAACAGAATGGAGTAAGTAATTTCCATCTACCTTTGAATACGTTCAACTTTTAATAGAATTGTACTGGTAATTTAAGGATATTTACTAACCAAATTTATGTAGTGAAACGAAATTTGAAAAGTAGTTGGTAGGTAGGTACTGTTACAAGTTCGTTCATAGTCCACTTTAGGTTTCCAAGCAGAAAGTATTAATGTGCTTTTATGTTAATCTGGACGCTTTTATTAATCAACTTTATTATTGGATTACTGGTTCTCGTTTTGTAGGTTGCTTACACAGAAATGTTGTCGAACCCTCAAATAAAATGTGGTTATATTTCACGTGTACATCTATCAACTCAAAACCTACAATTTTAAGTACTAATGCCTTCACTGTATCTCTTTTTATGTACCACGAACATCCTTCAGAGGCATTTTGTTGATGCGGATTTAAAACCATGATAAAAAACTTTTAATGGAAAATAGTTCCAAAGTATAGTCACTCTAGATATAAGAAAGTGAGCCAATGATCTACCGATTCGCTCTGGCTAGACTGGCCAATCGCTGGATGATGGAGGAAAGTTCAATTGATCGGAGAATATTAAAGTGTCTATAATTCAAAAACAGATCCCAAATGGAAGTCAATGGCTGAGGAGCGAGATTATTTCTGAGATTGAAGCCTTTAATTAGGTTGATGGCTCCTTTCTGGATATGTTGTAGGAGCTGTAACTCCCCAAATTGTGAGAAGATTAGATCTCAGCATCAGGAGGTTAGATGGCAAGAAATATGTTCTTGCTCTAAATGGGTATCCCAATTCCTTTTTAACTGCAATGGCAATGGAGAGATAGTGAGAACTTGATTATTCATAAGCAACGAATTCTTGCTTGAGAGAACTAGGATTTTTTTAGATAAACTTACATTTACCATGATATTTACCAGATATTTTTAGTTATATTATTTATTATTTAATTTTTAAAGAAACATTTAAAGTCAATGTAGAAATATGACAGCCAATTTTAAAATCGTTTTTATACAACGAATATTAGTTTGTGGGCTTCATGCTTATTTTTTAGATGCTGAAACTAACCATCTTCATATATTTTAACTTATATTTATTCTTTAATTTCTAGAGAAACATTCAAAGTATATGCCAATGTAGAAATTTTACAGACAATTTTAAAGCAGTTTTTAAAACACGAGATGGATACGAAAGAGCAGTAATTCTTACTATTATCACCATCCTAACCATGACAAACTTTATTTCTAATGGAGAGAAGACAGTTAAATTTCCATTTCTCAAAGAAAAACTTAGTTGGAGTTTAAGTCAGTACAACATTTTCAGTAGCATATCAATGGTTATAGGTATGGGAAGTACTGTGGCTGGTGTTTACTTCCTTTACAAAATGCTAAAAATAAAGGGTTCCACTTTATGTTTGTTGGGTTTAATATCAAGTTCGTTAGGAAGTTTACTTTTAGGGATAACAAAAAACAATTATTACGTTTATGGAGGTAAGATTTTTTTTATTATTCAAAATGTAGTAACTTGAGTTTTATAGGATCCATACTTAATTTAAAAATCATTATTTATTTATTTATTTTTAGTAGCAATGGAAATCTGTAACTAATACATATTATTGTTGTTATTCTGTGTCACTTTACATAATAACTATTATACTATTTTAAAATAAGCATTGTTGCTTTTAAAACGTGAGTGACGTAAACGAAAATGTTTTCTTACATGCAAATCCAAATGACAGCATCATTTATAAGTTTTACACATTTAGGCAACAGAAATTAAATAAAAATATGATTGTAATTCATTTAGTAGAAAAAATCTATAGGCCACAAAAATTATTCTTATTTGGCAAACGTGTTTTTAACCACCTATCTTACTGATGAATATAAACAATAAACTTTTAAATAGTGTGTCATTAATAAAAAAAATGAATTTAACATTTAATTATGAACACTGGCAGAATAGTGTGATACATCGATGATTTTAATAATAAATATTAAATCAATATTAAATAAATATATAAAAAAATATTTTTATAAAGGTTGGTGTTTCTATAAGACACCAGGAGTTTGGGACATCCAGATTTTTACAATAAGCTGACTTATAGGGTAATTTTTATAACCACTAATCGTAATCTGTCACGTCTTATTACCTAATAAAAACTTTACAAACCTTACTTTTTAATCCAAATATTACTTTCCTATAAATTTACAAACATAGAAAATAAACGAAATAATAATAATAATAATAATAATAATAATAATAATAATAATAATAATAATAATAATAATAATAATAATAATAATAATAATAATAATAATAATAATAATAATAATAATAATAATAATAATAATAATAATAATAATAATAATAATAATAATAATAATAATAATAATAATAATAATAATAATAATGTATTTTTTAAAAGTATTAATAATTTTAGTTGTGTGAACTTGGTTAGAAGGGGATAGAGCGCTGAGTTTGAGCACCAACGCCGGGTGCTAACTTCACAAAAGTTGGAGTTATATCTATTGACCATTTTTCGATTTCTAAATTGAAACTTTTGAATTTTCACACAGTTTGGCCTATTTATATTTAATTTTGGGGGTGGTGAAACGTCGAAATATAATTCTAAACGTCTTTGGATTTTTATTGTGACTTTTTGCCAATTTACCTTTTTTTTATAAGTTAAAATTCGAATTGCCGATTGTATTTTTGAAATTTTCATGACCTTTGGGGTCATTATAATTATTTTAGGGGGTGGTTAAACGTCGATACATAAATTTAAACTTTCTTGGATTTTAGTTGTGCCTTCCTGATAATTGATCATTTTTTCAAAGTTGAAATTCGTCCCAGGACTCTTGTTTAAATAAACAAATGGATGGTCAAACATGTTCAACAATTGGTCAATCCTATAGTGCCAGCGGACACTTGGCTTTTAGATTCTGAGGCTGGTCAAAGAAAGTTACTGGGTGGTCAAATATTGTCAATAGGTGAACAAATGCATGTCGTTTGTAAATCTAAAATTTTGAATTTCGGTGGCCTTTAATTATAAATGGTAACTGGCATTATCCATAGCTATTACAGAATTAATCGGTAATAAATTATTCCTCAAAAACATGGTAATCATTTGTAGAATTTGAAAAAAAAATTAACAAGCCTCTATCAACAAATCCTTTCTCCTCCAATAATTAAAAAAAAATTGAGCCCGTATACAAACCTTCTATAAATTCCTGACGAGCATTTGTAACCTGTTAATCATGCCAAACTTTTTTTACAAAATGTCCTTCATTTATTTATGTTTCAACCAAATAAAAAATATTTTTGGCTTCTTTTCTTAATTTTCTAATTTCCCTTAAATATTGCCTCCTCCAACAAATAATTTTATCTTTCTCTATGAGCGCAGATTTTCTATCGTTCTTCTTCGAATCGAAATCTAATTTATATAAAGTTTTCTACAATTGGTCTCTTTTAACGTTTGGCAAATTTTCGTCTCCATTAATGTCTACTAAAAGTATATCCAAAGTAGCTATCTTTTTTAAAAACAAAACGAATGCACTTTTCTTCGTATCAGTTGTTTCATAGTACCTTCTATTAGAATGGGTTTTCTCCCAGTTGACGTTTTAAGTGCTACTGTAATACTTTCATCTATTGCTTCAAAAGTCTATTGTTAATAGTGAGATTATAGGCTATTACAGAATTAATCGGTAATAAATTATTCCTCAAAAACATGGTAATCATTTGTAGAATTTGAAAAAAAAATTAACAAGCCTCTATCAACAAATCCTTTCTCCTCCAATAATTAAAAAAAAATTGAGCCCGTATACAAACCTTCTATAAATTCCTGACGAGCATTTGTAACCTGTTAATCATGCCAAACTTTTTTTACAAAATGTCCTTCATTTATTTATGTTTCAACCAAATAAAAAATATTTTTGGCTTCTTTTCTTAATTTTCTAATTTCCCTTAAATATTGCCTCCTCCAACAAATAATTTTATCTTTCTCTATGAGCGCAGATTTTCTATCGTTCTTCTTCGAATCGAAATCTAATTTATATAAAGTTTTCTACAATTGGTCTCTTTTAACGTTTGGCAAATTTTCGTCTCCATTAATGTCTACTAAAAGTATATCCAAAGTAGCTATCTTTTTTAAAAACAAAACGAATGCACTTTTCTTCGTATCAGTTGTTTCATAGTACCTTCTATTAGAATGGGTTTTCTCCCAGTTGACGTTTTAAGTGCTACTGTAATACTTTCATCTATTGCTTCAAAAGTCTATTGTTAATAGTGAGATTATAGGCCTTTTTGACTGATCTTAAAGTCCACTCTTAGCGGTAACCACGAGTTATATAGAGGGGCCCAATTTGTATTTAAATTGGCCTCTAGATAACACACGGCTAGGGGGTTAAGTTCAGAAGGAACCCTAACTTCCTGACGATGATTCAGAGGGTTTGCCTTACAGGAATTATTCCCTTGAGCAGCTTTCTCTTTCTGAGATCTGACTAAGCCAATACCCTCGCCGTTGAATGATCGTAAGTTTTCATAAACCAAAGAAAATTGAAACAAGCGTAAAACAAATAACTGTGATTTATTTAATAAATAAAAACAACTAATATTGCTTCCGCAATCACGTAGTCTTTACTGACTATACAATAACTAAATATAACTACTTAAAACTATTTACTTACATAAGCATTGTATTCTAATAACTCGAATAATTTCGACCGCTCGTCAACAAAGACCAAAAGGAACCTCCCGAATATTCACTTGCAATTTTTCAAGAATGCTCTTGTTGATCTTTCTTGACCCGGTACTTTAATATTATGATTTAATAAAATCTTGTCCAACTACACGTTTTATTATTTTACTAAATATTTGTTTAGTGGACCTGTCCTTGGACAAAACTTTACAAATCATAACATACCTATTCACAGGGTGTTATATTTATTCGTAACACTATAAATGGTTGCATCTCCAACTCCGGTCATATTTGAATACTTGAAACTATACTCTCTCTGAACGGTTCTATTGAAATGTTCATGTACAAGAGCGTCATGTACATTTAACACTAAAGTTTTCATATGTACGGTTAAATGACCCTTTAATTTCACCGGAGCATAATTAGACGTTTATGCCATTTTTATTCACTTGAACAATATAGATTTTTATCGCCTATTACTACAGAACTAACAATTCTGCGTGTTAGAATCACAAGACTATACAAACAGAAATGTAAATCATTTACAATCTGCATAACACTTTCTGCCGATTAGAAATTTTAATCCTTTCTAAAAAAAGTTGAGGGCTAGTTAAGTTGATTTTGAATTGTAAATATTTTCTACCTGTAGAGATTACATACTTACCTTATTTTTGTTGATTAAAATGACTAGAAAATTTAAGAATAGAATTGAAATAAATTGGCATTTTTAAAAATTTTAGGTAGAAAACCAAAGATTTTAGTTTGGAATAAATAAGGCTAAACATTTTATTTCTGTCACTGATTTATGATGTTATATTGGGGTTTATCTCCTGGGTCAAATTTTTTTTGCTATCATTCATTTTCAAATAAACTATAACAAGTTAGTTAAGGGCAGATTAGTGTCCCAATGTCGGTAATACTCTGCAAAGGTAAAGGCACAACCATCAACTTTACTTTATACCTACTTTCATAAACAACACTACTTTCTTCGTCACTTTTCAGCTGCTGTGATATCACTCTTTGAAAAGCTAGTAAATCCATTACTGCGGACTAAGTTAGGCCAAGTTGTGCCTGCAGAGGAGATGGGTAAAGTCTTCGGAACCGTATCTACAGTTGGAGGCTTAACTAGTTTAGTAGCATCATTTTTATATACGTTCTTTTACAATGCAACTTTGAATGTTAATTCAGCCCTCTTCAATTTTATATCTATGGGAATTTGCATCTCTGGTGCTTTTCTTGCTATGTAAGTATACAAAACTATCCTGTATTTTATTCAGGTTGCTTTGACGTGTAGAGTGAGTGTGAAAGATAATACATTTTTTTGTTCCGCAATTGAATTACCTACATGTTATGATATGATATAGACGAAAGATTTTTAGTTATTTGTAATTAAAGATATATCCATTTTAAACAATTTTTATTTACATTCTTACTAGGATTCGTTTAGTAAAAATAAGCATAAAATAAAGACTGCATCGACTTTATCCATGGAAACTTTTGAAGATCCTTTTGAATTTTATCTTGTTTTATTTTAAAAGAACTTCATTAACTAACCTTTTCTTAAAAAAATCTAGGTTTGCATGAAGATTCAGTCTCGAGCAGTGGCTCATCCAGACTTTAAGTGAAGGGGGGTAGTGGTAATATTTCAGACTTTATTTTTGGTTATAATACATTTTAGTACCTATAAAAAGTTAGGTTTAAATTTTCTTGGGATAATTACCCCCATAACTCCCCTGTATATATGCACCATTGGCCTCGAGTCCCCTTCTTTTCTGTTTGGTTTCAAGTCAAATTATGAGTGACATGAAGACAAATCGTTTGAAATTTAATATATACAGTTTATGTGGTATGTCGTGATGGATTTTTACAAGCATCGGCTTAATATAAAGAACATTAGACGTAGGTTAAAAAAATTAATAGTGCGTTAAGTGACACTTAGCCCTATTAATTTACTTGCCCTAAGAATTTAACCACTTCACAATCAACACTTGTAAGCCAGTAGAGTAGCACGCTTACCTACTACGTGATATTTCTATACTTAAAATTTTCTAAATGTAGTCCGTGTAAATGAGCAATTAAATTCAAAATTATATATTTACATCAAAAGGTGGCTGGCTATAAACAAAAAAAAAATGGAAATGTCTTCTGAACTCTCTTAAAAATGATTTATAATTCATTTTTACTAAAAACTTTCTATAGTAAACCCTTTTTTCAATAATGTATGTTCTTTTAGTAAAGCTCTTTGACTTTTTTGCTTTTGGTTGTGTTTAATTTTTGCAAGAAACCATATCTCTTTTTAAATGTAAGGTGGACAAAGCTGCAATTAATTTAATAATTGTGAATGACAGTTGCAGAATATTGTTCTAAAATCTTACCATTATTTAATTAATTTGCAAAATACTGCGTACGTATATGGCCGGTCACCACACTTAATGAATCACCCTATGTATTATATTCACAACTTTTGAATTTATCGTTAAATAATTTTCAATTTGTTTTAGATATCTTATCGTTTTGGAAAGAAGAGAACCTGCCAAATGCAATGAAGATGAAATAGAAAACCTAAATACTGCTTGAGAAAAATCTCAGTTAATTTCATTAAACAATATTTAAAACTGTCATAAGTTTCTATGTGAGCATTTTTACAAAAAGATAGCCAAAAAGTGTGAAAATCTACCAAATTTGGTTTTACTCTTTCAAAAAAAAAAAGATAGCCGTTAGGAGCCGAATATACCTACGTTTAGCTAAAATTAGTGTTGGAGGAATTAATGCCATGATAACGAGTAAACGAAAGATGAATTAAAACATTTACCATCTTGGCAACTATGCATTTCCTACCATGATATTTTTGTATTTGTTAAATTTTGTTTACTTATTACGATGCTGCTCTCCCTGCAGTTAATTAGGACCAAGGAAAATTATCAGTAAGAAAATTCAAAACTCCCAGTAAATGAACTAAAATCGATCCATATGAATTTTACCATAAAAAAATAGATTATCTCTATAAATATAAACGGAAAAACTGTACCTCATGAGCTGAATTCAAACTATGGTATGGTATGGCACTTGATGCCAAGTTACATGTTAAAAACAAAATAATTATTGAATTAGGATTAAAATATTAACACCACCACTGGCTCCTTGGCAAAAGCTCGAAACTATTAGCACAAAAATATTAAATTACAACCAGGTCTTAAGACCGTGTGTCTTAATGGCATTCAGCTAGTGCTAGATGCATCAAAATTAAGCCTTTTCTTGGTTTGTACGCAATGCTGATTTTCATCCCAAAAAACATCCCAACAATGAAAGACGAGATCTGCTATTGCGGGTTTATTGCATACGAGGATGTATCAGAAAATAACGAGACTGGTGCTATAGTATAACAACGAAACATTTATTTAAAAAAATTCAACAACTATCCTTCGAAGTACTCTCCATTCTGTTGAATACACTTATCCCATCGCTTTATCCACTTATCATAAACTTCTGAGAAACCATTTTTTGATAGTCTGTTTAGTATACCCATCACAGCGTTGTTGAGCTCTAAATCCGACTTAAATCTTCTATCTCTCAATTCTTTTTTGACTTCAGGAAACAAATGGAAGTCACATGGAGCAAGGTCAGGAGAGTAGGGGGGACGAACCATAAGTTTAATCCCTAATTCTTTAATTGATCTATGAGCCGGAGCATTGTCGTGATGCAGCGTCCAGCCAAAGTTCTGATAAAGCGGCCTTTTTTTCTTTAATTTTGCCTTTAAGGGTCCTCGAAGTACATTCGAATAGTACTCCCCTGTTACTGTATGTCCTCTAGGTACAATGTGATCGTAAATAACGCTAAATTTATCAAAAAAAAAATCAGGTGCATCACTTTACCAGCGCTTTTAGCAGTTTTGGCCTTCTGCGGTCTTGGGCTGCCTTTATGCTTCCATTGCATACTTTGAGACTTCAATTCAGGATCGTAATGATAAAACCAACTTTCGTCACATGTAACCACATTATTTAAAAACAGTGGGTTACGTTACAATTGCCTTTTCCACTGCTGACAAATTGTCACTCGATTCGCTTTTTGTTCATCGGTCATCACTTTTGGAATCCATCTTGCCGCGATCTTTCGGTACTCTAAATCTTCATGAATAATTTTTTAAGACAAATTAACATTGTCAGAAATTCGTTTTATGCCAATCCGGCATTCATTTTGTATCAAGTCGTTAATTTCTGCAATTTTTGTGTCATTTCTCGCAGTTTGTGGTCGACCGGGACGAGGTTCATCTTCAACTGATTCACAACCGTCTTTAAACTTTTTATGCCACTCAAACACTCTACATCGTGATAAACTATTATCTAGATATGCACCTTTAATCATTTCAAAAGTTTCAGTTGGTGTTTTACCCAATCGAACACAAAATTTTATCGCGTATCTTTGCTCCACTTTCATTTTTCGATGGGCACGCAAAACACTGACAATTCAATAATTAATTTGTAACAAATGTCAAAAGTTAAATCAAAGCCTACTTGCGGGGTAGTACATTAAATATAAGGCTTTCATGTCTCATTTTTTAGGTTATAAAATGTTACCTCTGAAAGAATTTATGGCACCAGTCTCGTTATATACTGATATATCCTCGTATAAATAATCAATTTTACAAATCAATGATAATTAAGCCCTTGACTTTAATGGCTGCTTAACCACTTGGATATGGGTCTTCTTTTATGGTTTTCCAGAGTATTTATCCTCTTTTTCTTGTTCCCGTTTTGTTTTCTGGCTAACCTAGAGACGTGCACGTGGTGCCATTTCGTATTTTACGGATTTATATGGCCTGAAAAGAATAAATATCTATTAGGAAAAGTTACTTATATCTAAGTGGATACATACACACTTGTGTGGGTTTAATTTTCCTAAGTTAGAACAAATAGAAAACTTACGAGTCATAGACATGCTTGTAATAAGTGTAATATTAAAATATAGTTAAATATATGACTGCTTTTTGCCCAAGCTACCTTAATTATTATATTTTAGGCCTCTTACTCTACCTCCCTCGTTTTTACTTACCTACCGATTTCTTCTTTTTTTGCTGCTTTGATTTTAGTAGCCAGTTAAAGAATAGCTTATAGCATAGAGCTACTCCTGCTCGCCTGCCGGTCCCTTTCTAGTTTAATCTGCACTTCCTAGTCTGCTTAATTACCTGAAATTTCTATATCAGTGTCTACTAGATTAAGAGATCATAGTTACTTACGAGTCGTTGTAGAGCTATCCAGAAATACCTGAAGAGTGACTTTTTGTGTTAGAACAAGTAAGATTAGTTTTAGTTTTCGAAGAACCCTGCCGGTGGTACGTAGTGAACCATTAAATAAATCAACTGGAGAAGTAACAATCCTATTCATGCTGTGCACAATTGATAAAACATATAAATGCCATAATCAATGATGTAAACCATCGTTAGTACTAACATTGGTTAATCGGTACATTGTAGCTTAGCTTATCATTAATCTTTGACATTGTAAGAAAGCCTACATATATTTTTATTTCATTCAAAATATATAAAACTAAGAGAACTGCACTCAGCATAAATTTGTTTATTTTATTTATACTTATTTAGATGGTTAATATATGTAAAATTAAAGAACCTACACAGTTAACCCTCCCTGTCTCCAACCTAGGGGTTGAGAAGAAAAAGGGCTGACACTACATATATATTCTTGTGTGGAAACTCAACACGTTACGTGTTGAAAAGAGAGAGACATTACATTAGAATCACAGTCTGTCGAACGAAGATAGATTTCTCGACATATGCTGTGTTGAAACCTAAGAATACCACTGCAGAAGGTTTGCTGGTAATAATGAACATAGACTTCCTCTACATATCAGCGCAGAAGTTATTCAGCTGTTGAACAATCAGAGTAATGTCCGACGATTTAGAAGGATCGACCCTTTTGTTATCATGTGTTTTGTATGTGTGAAGTGAAATTACAGCACAGAGCGCGTGTTACTTGAATAGGATAATCAGAAGATTTTAATGGAAATCGATGAATTTACTTTGGTTGATAAGTGCTTAGTTTATTGGAACGTAGCTGGTATATTGGGGTCTTACATGACCCTGGTCATACTAAGAAAAACAAAACAGATACTTTTTGCATTTTGTCAATATGTGGTCCACTGTGAACTAGTTATAGTAAAAAATGTTTCGCATTTACAAAAAGGTATTTATAAAAAAAAACAAGTATTTTAAATTTTGTGTGTGTGTGTGTGAGTGCGTGAGTGCGTGCGTGCGTGCGTACGTGCGGGCGTGCGTACGTGCGGGCGTGCGTGCGTGCGTGCGTGCGTGCGTGCGGCGTGCGTGCGTGCGTGCGTGCGTGCGTGCGTGCGTGTGTGTGTGTGTGTGTGTGTGTGTGTGTGTGTGTGTGTGTGTGTGTGTGTGTGTGTGTGTGTGTGTGTGTGTGTGTGTGTGTGTGTGTGTGTGTGTGTGTGTGTGTGTGTGTGTGTGTGTGTGTGTGTGTGTGTGTGTGTGTGTGTGTGTGTGTGTGTGTGTGTGTGTGTGTGTGTGTGTGTGTGTGTGTGTGTGTGTGTGTGTGTGTGTGTGTGTATCCACCATAACTCATGAACCGATACAAATAAAAACACTAAATTTTAAACTTAAGCTTTATTTCAGCCTGCGGTGAATTGATTAGATTTTGGACAGAGTCGGAGCATTTGGGGGGGGGTACTTTATTGGTGGTCATTTTTATATTTTATGGAATATATTCGTTATTTACGTTTGGCGAAGAAAATTCTTCAAATAATAGTTACTTACAATATTATTATCTATAATTTTTGTTTCATATAAAATTTTACTAAAATGGTCCGTATTCAAGAAATTGGACAAAATGTAAAAAAATTAATTTTATATAAAAATTGTTTAAATAAAAGTTGTTTGTAATATAATTCTCTATAATTTTTATCCTATACATAATTTTTTTAAAATGGACCGTATTCGAGATATTTGAGAAAATGTATAAATTTCGAATTTTGAAGAACACTCAAAAACGGATAAAGGAAAAAAAACATTTAATTTTAAACTTAAGTTTTATTTCGGCCTGAAGTGAAATGATTAGATTTTGGACGAAGGCGGAACATCTGGGGGGGGGGGGTACTTTATGGGAGGCCGTTTTTATATGTTATAGAATATATATTATAGAAAAATGTGTCGAGTTAGACGTATGTGGAAAATGTATATATTTAGTTTATTTTCTAAACATTTGTAGAGGTGTTGCAGTAGGTTGTACAAAATAACCGGAAAAAGCCTATGATAACTAGATAGTAAAGTCATGTGTTGGACCCATCAGATTTTTATCTGATATAAATTTGAGACGTAAATCCGTTAAAATATCCTCAATTACACCTATTTTTGAATAATATTTTGAAAAAAAAAATAACTAGTAAAAATATTAATAAAAACACACGTTTAAAACTAAAATATCTTAAAGAAGCACTAATATTAATTATAAAACGTTTATAAATACCCTTTTTGAATTTTTTGTCCAGTTTAATGCTTAATCATAATATTAATACAAAAACCAATAATAAGGGAGTATAAACTGACC